TATTTGAAGATATCTGAAGATCAAAAGGAAATTATCCAAAAAGTAGACTACTTTTTTTTTTTTTTAATTGTGATTTGGGTGAAAGTTTACGGAGCAAATTCACTTTCCATACAGCAGTTCACATGCACTTTGTCTGAAGACATTGACTACAGTTTAGCCCAATGCAACAGCTCCCCTCCCACTTCCTTCTGATAGTTACCTCTTCCCTGTGTCCATCCCTGCATGCACTTCTGTCCCCTGAGCTATCTCGCTGAGCATAAACAGCCCTTCTTTCCCATAACTGATCTCTTCAAGGAGTGCATCTACCTCAGGTAAATGTTCAACTCATATGCCTGTCTTTTGTTTGACTGGAAACCACAGGTGTGGGTTCAATTCCAGACCTGAAGGGCAGTTAGGGGCCATAGTCTCAGTGGTTCCACGAGGATCTATCAGACCAGCAAACCTGGTCCCCCCCCCTTTTTTTTTTCCCCCAAAATGATTTTGAATTTTGTTCCACATTGTTCTCCCTCTCTATCCAGGATCTCCTACATAGATGCCCCTCTGAGTGGTTGACCGTGATAGCCGGGCACCATCTAGTTCTTCTACTCTCATAGTCCGATAGGCTGCAGATCGCATGGTATACCAGTTGCTAGGACTGACTGTTTCCATGAATCTTTGGTTTTCTTCATTCCTCCTTGCTCTGGACAAGGAGAGACCCATTGTTGCATCTAGATGGCTGCTTGCAAGCTTTTAAGATCCCAGTCACTACTCACCAAAGTAGGAGGTGGAACAATGTTTTGTGTAGTATGTTATGCCAATTGAGCTTGATGTCCCCTGTGACTATGGTCCCGAGCCCACAGGTTCAACTGTTCAGTCCCTTCAGGTAGCTGGCTGTGACCAAGAAGTGACTACAACCTTGTCTCTTGTCAGCTCTACTATATACCTGGGAATTCTTACACATCATACAAATACACTTATAGGACCATTGTCTGCCAACCCTATACATGGTCTTGGGTACACTCCCTGCCTCGTAGACATACCTAATAGTTCAGCCTGTCCACCCATCTATCCACCCATATACCCATGTTTGCCTTCACTGACAATGCAGTGCTGTATGTGCAAAAGGGTTCATCTTTGTTGTCTATCCAAGAAGTAGAGCACATCTACATAAAGAAAATAATGTGTACAATGGAGGAAAGTACATGCATTTAGGTGTAAAAGAGAAAAACAAACAAAAACTGTTACTGGCAGATTCCTAAAAGACATATGGCGAGAAGTAAAACTGAAGGCATTGAAACATATTGTGAAAGGTATGCTAAGGGTTTGGGTTTTTATCCTGAGAACAACAGAAAGCCTTATTAGGTGACATTTTTAACTACACATTATACCTTTGGCTACCATGTCAAGGATGGAAAGATAGGAGAGTGTATTTTGGAAACCAGATTAAATGCTATTACAATTCTCCAGGCACAAACTATTAACATCTTAGATCAAGATGTTGGCAATGGAATGGGCAGATTCCACAGGCTTGGTGATTGATTGGATGTGATATGTGCTAAAGTAAAACCGTGAAGCAATGAAGTTGACTTGCTCAACTGAGTAAGTGGTGAAATGGGAATACTAGAAGAGATGTAAATTTGTGGTTGGGGGAGTGAGATTATTATTTTTTTTTTAATATAGTTGAAATGATCTAATAATGCTGCAAGGTGATTTATGTAGTAATAAGCTCTTCACTGTTAGAATTATTCAAGTCAGATTAGAGATCTTTCTGATGAGTAGAAGAAATTCTTGCTTTGTTATAAATTTTGGATGAAATAACTACGTTTCCATACAGTGCTAATAAAAACATGCCATTTTTGCCAGAAATTGGTCCTGTAAATGGCTCATGACAGAAATAAAACCCAATTTGCCTGCAATTTTAATTCCTCAGAATCATTCCTACTGGGTTAATAAAGATTCCTTGTCTAAGGATTCCTGGTGGCACAGTGGTTAAGTGCTTGGCTGTTAACTGAAAGGTTGGCAGTTCTAACCAGCTGCTCTGTGGGAAAGACGTGTGGCAGTCTGCTTCTGTAAGATTTACAGCCTTGGAAACCCCTATGGGGCAGTTCTATGTCCAATAAGTTGGAACTGACTGACTTGATGGCAGTAAGTTTGGTTTGCATACTGTTTTCATCACCTGTGCACAGAGTTCTGATTTCACAAAATCCTTCCAGCGTATTATTTAATCTAGTGTCGAAGAGAAGTATATGTGTTCCAGTAGTTCAAAGGCAAGTCTCTATAAGCCTGGAAAGAAAAAAGTGGGAGGCTGCAGAAACACACCCTGCCCAAAGCCAAAACAGAGAAGAGGGCTCCTGCAATAGTTAATCTTTGTAGTTTTCCTCACACCTCCAAGTATTCAGCACTGTGTCCTGTAGGGTCCAGCATTTGTAGGTTAATTGATTCTCCAGATTTGTGATTATGGTGGGCTGAAAGGATAATAAAAATTTTAGGTGTAAAATCAAAAAGAGAAAAGCACAAAAGAGAGAGAAAGGAAACTGAGACAAGAGAACAGTTTAAGGAAACCTATTTTTTTTGTGTGTCAGCACTGCCAATCTTGTAGTGAGAGACAGCTGCCATGTCAGTTCCTTAGGAAACTTTTAGTAAAGACCTGCTAAACTTGGTCTTTTATTGACTTTTCTATCAAATGCCCTAGAAAATGAAGACTGTGAATGTGTTTGACTCCTTTTTCCCACTGATTCTTCTCCAGCTGTTGACACTGTTCACACACCCTACAAGGGCCTCAAGCTCCTGCCCCTTACTGAGCCTTGCTCCCTCAGCTGCCATTCAGTCCCAGAGAGAAGCATACAATCTTCTTTCAATTCCTCCTCTTCAAAACTCAACCAAAACTTTCTGGGCCTAATTCAAATCTTTCTGTTTTTCCTCATTTACGAAAAGGAATAATAAAAATGACAGTGTGAATACCAATAAAGCCTATGCATTGCAGTCCTTGGGTGGACAAAGGTTAAGTGCTCAATTACTAGCTTAAGGCTGGCCATTGGAACTAACCCAGAGGTGCCTCAGAAGACAGGCCTGGTGATCAATTTCCGAAAAGGCACAGCTTTGAAAAACCTTTAGAGCAGTTCTACCTTTAACACATAAGGTGGCCACTGGCATCAATTCCAGAGCAACTCACATTACAGTTGTTTTAAGGTAAAATAACATTGTATATACTTGGCATTTTATAGGAAACTGCAAAGCGCAGCTACAAATAGAAGTTGTTTCATTGTCATTATTTCTAAAGTCGATTATTAGAATTAGGGTATTTAGCTCAGGGAAAGGATTAATGTAAGATGTTGTCAGGTGTCTCCGAAGAAAAAGCCACTTTAATGGAGGTCAGCCTACCTTGCACAAAGCTCTCTGGACAGAAATCTTTCGGTACAAAAAGCTGGAAGCCTGGGAAAACAAAGCATGCAAACTAAGAGCGTCAGAGGCGCAACGGACTGCAAGGTCCCCCCCTCCCCCTACACACACACACACACACACACACACACACACACACACACCCGCCTTTAGCTACCCGGCAGGAGGGCTTCCCCGAGGCGCGCTTCCGGGTGCGCTCTGGGCGCTTCTAACTGCCTAGCCTAAGCGCCAGGCGACCAGGCCTTGGGGAAGCTAAGAACCGGGGAACTGGAAGTTTTAACATTTTGAAAGATTTGTCGCTGACCAAGAACTCAAGAAAGTCTCTCAAGTCATTTCGGAGGGGCCTGCCTGCACTCGCCCTCACTGTATGCCAGGGTGCCGAGCCAAGTGCATGAGGGTGTAATAAAAAGTTAGGTTCACCGTGGTGGAAGGGTGAAGTATTCGTGTTTGGAGCAGTTCTGGGTGCCTCCGTGTTGGGGAAACGAGAGGTACTTGGAAGTCTCTCTCCAATCTTTCCACAACTGCGCGTAGTGGCAGGTTGGACAGGGAAGGCTAAAACAAACTTAACTCTCTGCGAGGAGGCCAAGGGAGGAAAAGCGGAACCCAATCGGGGAAATCTGGCTCAGCTCGGGTCCGCAAAAAACACCGGCGCGGGAGCCCGCTCCATTCTCTGCGCCTCCACCAGCCTGAGGGGCCCTTTCTTCTTAAGCGTTTCGTGTATAAAAAATGGAAAGACTTAACAGCTAACCCATATCACCGAGACAGACCCTATGGTGTTTAAATTTTAGCACTGCCACAGTAACAGCTCGAGAAATCAGGAGTTTTGAATTCACAAGAAAAAATGCGAGAAGACTGAATCACCACGAGAAATGCCATTTGTAAGCTTAAGTTGGAAGCTAAGAGGACCGTTAGAACAAACTGGAGCAGCTGATTAATAAATTTGCATTTGTACACCTATGCAAAAAAATGTACGTACAGGGCGAAAACACTTTCCAGCTTATGTGAGACCGGGGCTCCACAGTCTCACCAGAATGAGCCAGCCCACAGTGCAAATACCCGCGAGCAGACCAGCCTTTCCTACGCTTGCGCAAAAAAACGTTTCCTCCCCTGCCCCCGACGCCCCGCCCCGGTCTTATGGTCTTATGCGCAAAGCATTGTGGGACACAAACAAAGTGCCCCCCAAACAAGCTAGAGAGAGCGGAGCGGCAACAGCGGCGGCGCCGGCCCGCACGCGCGCGCGGCGGCGGCTCCCCCTCCCCAACCTCCCCCTCCCCTCCCCTCACTCCCCTTCCCCTTCCCTACCCCGCCCCGCCGGGAAGACGCGAGCCGTCGCCGCGCTCCTCAAACCGCTCCCTGCCCTAGGCCAACCGCCCCCAACGGCCGTCAGCGCGCGGCTCCCTAGTACCCGCTCGCTCCTCCCCTCAGGTCCCTCCAACCGCCAGGGTTGTGCTTCCCTACCCACCCACTTCGCACTCTCCCACCGCCGACACGCTGCTCGTCTTTGCCGCCATGCCCCAGCCACAGGCTGTCCACGGGCCTAGGCGCAGCGGCCCGAGATAGGGTCCCTCAGCTCCCGGGGGAGGAGAGAAAGGAGCGAGCCGCGCGCTCCGCCCCTCCCCCCGGGCTGTCGTCGCTGTCGCCGCCACCTCGCCTCCTCAAGCCTGGCGGGGAGGAGGAGGAGCACCAGGCCTCCGGGCCCCGGCACCGCCACCCGCAGGTAATGGGGAGAGGGGCGAGCGGGGGGTATGACCGGACTCTGCGCCGCCCACGTCCTATGAAAGATTGACACCACGCGTCCCGTATCTGGGCGCTGAAGGAAAAGCAAAGCCTTGTCTGTCACCCCCATCCGCTTCTGGAGTCACCACACAGGGTCTCCTCAATGGTCTCCTCAATGGCATTTAATCCTTAAGGGAGGGAATTGGCCTTAGGCCCCTAGATCCAGGAGAAATTCCCCCATCTTCCAGGTTCTGCTCCTCGTAAAATCTTCGCCCATTTGCCGACACCCTAACTCAAAGAAGGCAGAGGTGTTACCCCTATCTCACCTGGTAGGATTTCCTGGTAGAAACCAGGGAGGCTGTGACCTCTTTTTTTCTTTTTCCCCCTTTTCTCCCTTGCTTCTTTTTCTCTTATGGGGAACAAGAGGATGGCACTTCTTTTAAAAACAAAACAAAACACAAACATCTCTTTTTCTTCTCTAGCTGAGACTCACTCCACATCTCATCATTTTACTACTAGCCTAGCCAGAAAAAGGGGTTACCTGCAAGTGTAATAACAAGTACGTTAGAATAGATAAAAGGAGATGGTGTCCATGAGTTTCATGAACCGTAACCAGAATTTAAAATATAGCCCAATAATGATGTAATTTATTGGAACTTATTTATGGAAATGAAGACAAAAATACCATTTTTCAGCATATAGTAAATATCTGTTGGAATCAGGAAAAAATTCTGTTTAATGTCAACTTGTTTTCTTGGTCTTTTATTATGATGTAGGCTACTACAAAAGCAAACTACACAACTTGATAGATAGCCAGTAGTTGAGCTAGGTGAAGATTTTGATGATTTCCTTTTTCATAGGGTTTTAGTTGGAATTCTTAAAATGTAAACCTTCACTTTCCCCATTCACTTGCACTTCCAGTGGATTAATAATATTTAATTTTATGTAGTTTCTTCTTCCTGAAATGTGAAAATAATGAAAGGAATGTTTCTTACTGTATAGGATGATTACATTAATAAATTTAGAAAAACAATATTTACTTACTGTGTGCAACACTGTGCTAGGCATTTTATGCATGTAATCTTACTTAATTCTCACAACAGCCTAATGACAGGTATGATTACTTGCATTTTATTGATGAAACAGAAATTTAGTGATATTATGTAACTTGCCTTAGGTCATACAACTAGTAAGTGATAGCGGTGAGATTTGAACCAGATAAAATTCTAGCAGAGCACTGGTGGCATAAAGTTAAGTGCTCAGCTGTTAACTGAAAGGTTACTGGTTCTAACCTATCCAGTGGCTCTGTGGGAAAGAGACCTGGTCCTGTAAAAATTAAACCTACTTTCATCGAGTCTATTCCAAATCATAACAACCCTGTGACAGAATAGAATTAAATCTTTATGGAAGTGATCTGCCTCATATTTCTCCACTAAGGGGTTGGTATATTGAAACCGCTGTCCTTTTGATTGGTAGCTGAATTCCTTAACCATTGTACCACCAACTCCTTCCGTAAAGATTAAGCCTAGGGAAACTGTATGGGGGCAGTTCTGCTCTGTTCCAAATGGTTGCTGTGAGTCAGAAATCAACTGGGCAGAACTAACAACAATATAATTCCAGAATAGGTTTACTTTCTACTGTGATTCTCAGTAAAGGTACAGTTTTTTTTTTAACTTTGTTAGGAAAATTTTTAATCATAGGAGTTGGGAAGAACATAATATCCACTGCTTAGATTCAGTAATTAACATTTTTGCCATATTGTTCCCCTTTTCTGTGTATATGTGTGTTACGTATGTATGTTTAAACATTTGAAAATAATTTCAAACATGACACATTCAGCATGCATTTCTTAAAAATATTCTCCTGTTAACGCCAATATCATGATCACACCTGTAAATAAGAATTCCAATCTAGATTCAAATTGACTCAATTATTAAAAAATGTTTGTTCTCACCCCCACCCACAGTTGGAGTAGGGCAAGATCCATGCATTGTATTTGGTGATTATGCCTTTAGTCTCTTTTTAAAAAGAACAATGCCCATTCCTTCTGCTCCCCCCCCCCCAAACAGACTTAACCCAATCAGACCAAACTCACTGCAGTCAAGTTGATGACCCCTCCTTGGTTTCTGAAGCGGTATCTCTATGGAAGTAGATTAACCAGTCTTCCTTCCCAGGAGTGTCTGGTGGGTTTGAACTGCAAGCCTTTTGGTTAAGCAGGCAAATGCTTTAGGTACTATGCCACCAGAGTGCCCAGAGACTTACCGTTTGTCTTACAGACTGCCCCACATTCAGGACTTGTCTGTTTCTTTGTTGTTTTCATTTAACTTACTCCTCTGTCTCTCTGTCTTTGTTGTTAATTGGAAGTCTAAAAGAAGGACTTAATGAGCTTGAAGTAAAACTTTTTGGCAAGAATACTTAGTAGGTGATTATATGCACTTCAGAGGGTGTTAATGGTTCAGTGGTAGAATTTTTGCTTTCCATACAGGAGAGCTGGGTTTGATTGCCACCACTGCATCTTATGCATAGCCACCACCTGTCAGTGCAGGCTTGTGTCTTGCTATGATACTAAACAGGTTTCATTGGACCTTCCAGACTAAGATGGATTAAGAAGAGATGCTTGGTGATGTTCTTAAAATCAGCCAATGAAAACCTATGGAGCATAGCTAACTGATCATGGGGATGTTACAGGAACAGGCAGCATTACCTTCCATTGTGCATGGGGTACCCATGAGTCAGAACTAACTTTTTGGCATCTAACAACAGCAATAACTAAGTATTTGATGTTGTACTATATTTATATAAGAGGTGCATAATGTCCGATTGATACAAAAATGATTAAAGGGGTGACTGCCAGGTACCTCTGTTATAAAGATGTGGTTTGCCCCTTTGTAAGTAGTATGTAATCTTGGGGTACAAGTCGTCCTTGATTTATGACATAATCTAGTTACTATGAACTAGACGAACTGATGAACTGCACTTAACAACCATCTGGGTGTTTTTTTTTTAAATCCTATCAGGTTGGGCAGTCTACTTCCATAATGATACCGCCTCGGAAACCCAAGGAGGGGTCCCTATGAGTCGGATCCGACTCGACGGCAGTGAGTTTGGTTTTTTTGGTATCATTAGTAATATGTACTACATACGGTGTTACAGTGCTTAATTTACTGATGTTATTCTCAGGTGTTTACTTGCAGATGTTCGGAGTTAGGATTTATAAAGATAATGATCATAAAAGGCAGTAATAAGGAAACTAAAGAAAAATGAAGCATTCAGCTTACATCAGAACTGACTTAGAACAGAAACCCATCATAAGTCTTTGACACCAAGCAAATATCCTGCTTCTGACTAACTTTTGCTTAATGATTTTAGCACTCATTGATGACCCCTGCTTTAAATCAGTTATTTTAGTAGAAGGTCTCTTTAAGGAAGAGCTTTTCTTCATTAACTGGGAATGAACTAAAGTTCCTCCTAAAAACGCTGGTTAAATACTTAATTTCTTCCCTTTAATTGTCAATATTGAGAGTAAAGAGTTGGGGTAATAATCATCCCAACTGGTAGAGATTTTTTTCCTTTCTTTTTTGGGGGGATATCACAGTGGACTCATGGATTTTTATTTATGTATCCATTGTTTCATAACCAATTATAGTCTTTTAAAATTTTTTTTAATGATCAAATTGTCTCAAATTTGGAGACCTTTCGATCTGGCTCCTGTGTCATTTTGACGCTTCTATTCACCATTAGTCCTGGAGGGCTTTTTGGCATAAAATATCCCAGGCTTGCCTTGTATTTTTTTTGGCCCAGATACAGAATAGTCTGTTAATCCAAAGATTCCTGGTTCGTTTTAGTGAGAAATGGTGTATAGAAACCAAGATCTGGGTGTTTGTCATAGTCATGGCTGCTGAGCTGTTACTGCTTCTAGGCCCTTTCAGAAAAGAGAACTTGAAAACAAATTTTTACTTATTTGTATAATCATGAGTTTCTATGATACAGCCAATTGAAATTAACATAGCAGAATTTTTTCCTAACTTCTATGGTTCTGTATTTGTCTCTTGCCTTAAATGAAAATTTTGTTATCTAATAAAATTAACATATATATTTGCTTTATCCTTCTATATGCATGAACTTGTTTAAACTTATAATACAATTACTACTTCTGAGTGAAGTTTAATATTTCCCTATATTTATCTTCATCCTTAGAATGTATTGTATGTAGGAATGACATACAATATGTGAATATGTTGAATACTTGAAATACTTTTCTCTGTTTGGTTATGCTACCAATTTGATATATAGTTAGAGTCATTGGTTTCATTTTTTGTTACAGTTTTCTTAATTTTATTTTTGAATATATAAAATACATGCTGTAGTTAGGTGCCATCAAATCAGTTCTGACAAATACATAGCAACCTTATGTACAGTAGAACAAAACACTACCCAGGCCTGTACCATCCTTACAGTTGTTGCTATGTTTGAGCCCATTGTTGTAGCCACTGTGTCAATCCATCTTTTTGAGGATCTTCCTCCTTTTCATTGACCCTCTGCTTTACTAAGCATGATGTCCTTTTCCAGGGATTGATCCTTCCTGATAACAGTGTCCAAAGTACATAAAATAAGTCTCACCATCCTTGCTTCTAACGAGCATTCTGACTATACTTCTCCCAAGACAGATTTGTTCATTGTTCTTGTGGTTCCTCACTCACTGCCATAGAGTCAAATCGACTCATAACAACCCCTCCTTGGGTTTCTGAGGTGGTATCTCTACAGAAGTAGATAGACCAGTCTTCCTTCCGAGGAGTGTCTGGTGGGTTTGAACTGCTGGCTTTCTGGTGAGCAGTCAAAATGCCTTAGGCACTATACTACCAGAGCTCCTTCATTTAACATAATGAGCTCTTTTTTTGTGGTCCCTGATGTATTTAATATTCTTCATGAACACCATAATTCAAAGGCATTGATTCTTCTTTTAGTCTTACTTATTCATATACATGGTTCAAAGTAAAAATA